CCAGGAAATGATCGATGCAAACGCTCGGGATGAAGAAGCAGCCCGTGGTGATGAGGAGAATGAGAATGGGTGGTATCTTGAACAGAGTATCTTATAGGAGAGCAGAAACCGGGAGGTTCAAAGCGAGACAGGAGGGGTGGAGGAAAAGAGGAGGAGAGGTTACTACAAGAGAAAGGACGGCAATGAGGGAGAAAAAGCCAGGCAAAGAAAGAAGGAAATGGACAAAGGACGACAGGAGATGCCATGGGTGCGGAAAGATAGGTCACCTAGTGGCGAATTGCCCGCGAACCCGATGTTTCGAATGCGGAAATGAAGGGCACATCGCAAGACAATGCCCGTATATGAGTAGACGCGGAGTCATGGGCCGAGATGAGCCAATGGAAGTGAACGCTCAGAGATTGTGGAGAAAGAGAGGAGCAGCATCGGAGTCAGACGATTCATCGGGAACATCTAGAACCGAAGAAGAGGAGACGGTAGTAAAAGGAGCTCGAGGAGGCAGAATTAGCAGGAGGAGCGGAGAAGGAGGAGCAGCTGCAGAAAGGAGAGGAAGAACGGACGAATGAGGAGAGGGGCAGAGGGGCGGCAACCACGCGGTAATAAATAATATTGGAGGTGAGTGCGTTGGTTTGCCAATTATAAGTATTGTAGGGAGGGGAAAGTGTTGATGGATACGGGAAGTTCTAGTACAATAGTATCTAGACAGATGTTGGAGGAGTTGTGTAAAGGAAAGAGGATACCGAGAATAAACATTTGTAAGTGTAAGTTGATTACTTTGGGTGGTCCTTGTATAGTAGAAGGGGAAGTAGAATTAGATTTGGACAGATGGATGACCGGAAGTGGGAAGTTGAGGGTTCACGTAGTGGAGAACATGACGATGGAGTACGGGGGTATAATAGGATGTGACTTATTAAGTAGAGTAAGAACGAGAATAGATTACAGGAGTACGGGTTAGGTTGTTCGAATGGGAGGGAAAAGGTATCGGTGTAAGCAATCGCAGTTCATAAACTGGCGGGGGGGAGTTATAGTTAGATGTAAGACTGTATAATAGTTAATCCTATCCATGAGTTGTAAACAAACCATAATACTATATATACAGCATTACTGAGGAAATAAAGTCAGTCTTTATCGAGCAACCAAGTGTTTCATTTCGCAACCTTTCGTTCTTTTTTTTATTATTTCCTGTTCGGACAGTCGTAAGTTTATATATATATATATATATATATATATATATATATATATATATATATATATATATATGTATATATATTTGTTTATTTTATTATTATTGATATTTTATATCTTATTTTAGTTTATTCTGTTTAAGTACTTTATTTGCATGAATTTATAGGTACTTATTTTTATATTTGTATAAATTTTTTTTTAATGGTTCATCGTATCATATGTTACATATTGCATTACATAGTAACGTTGTAGGATATATTTCTCCATCATCGGAACTATAAATCATTACTATAAACTATTACTATAATTTAAAATTTGGTAACAATGTATTTATGATTGATCCTTATATTACAGAGAAGAGACTGATTAACTTATTTATTAATTGAAAAAATCAGTTAGTGCACTAAAATAACACAAACCATTTTATAAAGTGATGGAAAGAAGTATTTGCACAACACGTTTTTATGAATAAAGTAGTTCAAGGAAACAAAAATCTTCGCTTTCCTTTGTAAAAATGAAAAGTAAATTTATTAAAAACAGAAAAAACTTTTTTACAAAAAAATAAAAACACTCTCTACTCCCTAGCAAAAGCAAGGTGCTTTTTGCGATTCGTTTCACTGATGTATGGCTTCTTTCTTGGAACTCTACCATGGAGCCCTTCCGAATTCAGGGCATATCTAATTGTTCTGCTAGTAATCTGAATTCCAGACGTTGATTGGACCATGGTAGCCAGCTCCCGAGAACTTATTAGAGGATTTTTAAGAGCTTCTTTTCTGATTTTCCTCTTCAGCCTGGGAGTTAACTTTTTTGGACGCCCTTTACGCTCACTGTTTTCAGTTGAACCACGTTCTTCATACCTTTTTATGACGTATCCCACTGTAGAAAGATTCAACTCTAAGAAATCAGCAATTTGGCGATATGTTTTTGCTGACTCCTTAGTAAAACAATTTTTTCGCGAGTTGCGGCACACAGTTCACTTGTCTTTGCCATGATAATTGTCTATTTACTAAAGGAAACTGATTGAAAGACTAGAGAATACTGGTAATAAACCATTAGAGATAAATTAGTAAACAATCCTAAGACCTATGGACACAGGAGGATTAATGCCAAAGTAAACAGAGCTTGTGAGTCATAGTGTGCAAATACTTTTTTCCAAGCACTTTTATTGTTTTAATTTTTTTGTTTCATTATGAAGTGTTGTCATTTTTTTCCAAAAGGTTTTTCTCAGTTTTTAACTAATGTACTTTTCATTTTTGCAGAGGAAATCGAAGTTTTTTGGTTCCTTGAACTCATTTATTCATAAAAACATGATGTGCAAATACTTTTTTCCATCACTGTATATCAAATATACAATAGTTACTACAAGCGCTCAATTTTCTAACTTCATAAAAGGAAAATTCATCTATATTCCTAGTCATTTAAGATTATGAAATGTTACCTAATGACTTTTTGCAATAAACTGATGATATAATAATTTTAAAAATCATAAAAGTGCTAAAATTCAAAATCTTTTTTTCACTTTTTTCTTTTCTAACTGGTATTAAGCATGTATTTAATCATTTCATAAGTAAATTAACTAGTTAGCAGTTTGATATTTTCGTTATTCTGGATTTTTCATAATTTTTAAACAGTGATCATTACTTTTTGCTAATTTTTTTTCTTTCTTTTCCTTTTTAGGTCTTTTCATAATTGTGGTTTGACAGAGTTTCCTTGGGAAGCTTTACAACACCTTAACCACTTGATTTATCTGTAAGATTGTTATAAAACCTTATTAATAACATTTATATTTAAATTATTTATCATTAAATTTTTGATAAGTAAATGAATAACCTTGCCAATTAACTAATTACCTAAAAATGATTTTGATTTACACTAAAGGCAATTGGATCAGAATGCTATAAAAAAAGTGGAAAGAGGTGATCTACTCAATCTCACAGAACTAAGGAACTTAAGGCTTGATTCAAACCATTTACAAAATATTCCATCCAGCGCATTTGTAGACACACCACAATTGGAAGTTTTGTAAGTATTAATTTGCCCATTATACATTTTGAATTTCATGCAATTCTACTATGGAATGTTGTTTTTTACTTTCATATTTTTGTGAGCAAATGATTCTTTCATGTTTTTTTGTTATTTCTGTTTTTATTACTTTCACTTACCTATATATGAAATATATAGTTAGGGTAAGTATTGTGATCGTATAAATTTTATAATCTGAGTTTTCAATGGAAATACATGTTTGTGGGGTCTCCTGATTCAAAATAACCAAGTCCCGCGCGTGTGTATGCGTGTGTGTGTGTGTGTGTGTGTGTGTGGTGTATGTATGTTCTCAGTCCAGCTCAAAAACAAAAAATTGTATGAAAATGAAATTGCATATTTAAGTTTTTTATAGGCTTTTGATGTTACAGCAACATTTTCATTAAAATCGGTAAACCGGAAGTGGTACTTTATATAATTAACGATTTAACACATTTTTATGATTTTCTCGAAAACAGTTCTAACGATTTTGATTAAACTCAGTATACCAGTCTATTATTAAGCATTTTTTAATATAATGTAGGTTTTATTCTCATTGATGTTCTATATCACGGCTTAAATGGCTAATTTTCAATATTAGATTTATCTAAAGTACCTTTTTTTTTTTTCATTTGAAATAATTAACCATTTCACATTAGTCTTTGATATAAAAAATAGTTAAATATAAAATATGAAAGAATTTTATAATTAACTAAAGGAGAAATAAGAGATCGTAACGGATAATAGTTGTAATAGAGGAATCAAAGGAATACGAGCTTGCCTGAAAGATTACAACAGTGTTCCATACTTAACATGAGCTTCATATAATATGGACTCTGACCAGGAGTCCCCAGAAGAGGGTTTCATGGCGCAGGTTGAGCCATCAAAAGTTTTTAGGGGAGCATATTTTGACGTTTTTTTGAATTTTTGAGGGGAGCAAATTTCGACGGGGTTATGAATTTTTGGACTAAGGGACAAGGGGAAAGACATGTAACATACCGCAGCAAGTGTAATTGTATATGATCTACGATTTTTCTAATTCTACCTTAGCTTACTCTATTTTTAAGAAAAGATGAGCAATGAAATATCTTGGGAGGAGGGGAGTAGGTTCTTGCACCATCAACCTTAGGGCATATATATATATATATATATATATATATATATATATATATATATATATATATATATATATATATATATGCAGTTTTCATAAATGCTATCAATGGTATTATTTAATATTTAATTGTATAGAATACAGTGATATAAAAATTAAAATTTGTATATATACCCTAAGGTTGATGGCACAAGAATCTTAAAAATACCCACAATGAGTTGTAAATAAATATAGTGTCAATCATTTTTAATTAAACCTATATTGGGTTCACTGATCTATTTTTTACTTTTTCTATTATTTTATTTTGCAGCAATTAATTCTGCAATGCATTAGCTAAGTAAAAGAAATAATTTACTTGACTTCATTATGTAAATTAAAATTAGATATATTATATTATATTTATCTTTTACACCATTATTTTGTTATTTTGTATGATTATTGAAACCTAATATTTTTTTCTCTAATTTATTATATTTAATTATGTTTTAACAATGATTCTTACATGTTTTTCATAATTTTGTCACAGAAATCTTGGAAATAATTTTATTACACAAATTCAAGTCAATGCATTTGCAATGCTTCCCAATCTGATCCTTTTGTAAGTAGTTTTCAAAATTTTCTTATTTTAATAATGAAACTTGTTTTTTTTTCGTAATTATCTCATTTCCATTTTCTAACCAGGTATATGAAAAGAAACCAAATTGATTTTATACATGATGATGCATTCGTAAATTTAACATCATTGAGAGTATTGTAAGTTCAACCAATGATTTTTATATATATATTAATAATTGTTACAGATATATTTTCATGTGCATATATGTTTTTTTTTAAGGGAATTAGATGACAATATGCTCACTCACATTCCTATTGCTCTCACAAAATTGACCAACTTGCAAGAACTGTAAGTTTTAAAGTTACAAAACTTTCTATAAATACAAAAAAAATAAAATAAAAAACCAATTAGTACTATATCTTTCATTTTCCTCATTGTGTGTTTTGTGATACAAAATGTGAATATCGTACCGAAACCTAAAAAAAATAATTTTATTTTAATTTCTTCCTGTTTAAATACCTGTTTTTATCTTCTTTGTTTCCTTTTCAGGTCTTTATCAGGAAATAAAATAAAATATATTCCCAGTGGTATTTTACAAAAATCACAGGGGCTGGCACACTTGGAGCTAAAAGGAAATCCATTAGTTGGTGTAGATCCTCATTCTTTTTCATTTCTTCCAAAACTTAGGAAACTGTGAGTATATATGTGAAGCCTTATTCTATATTCTCAGTGATTCATTTTTCAGATGTTCATACACTTACAAATAATCTTATTACAGTAGTCTTACAATTAATATTATTGAAAATGATAATAGTTATATCATACGTTGTGAACTTTCAAGAAAGTGTTTGGAAAATTCTCTCTTAAAATCTACAAGTTTCTTAAGAATGCATACATATCGATAATCTATTACTGGATCTGAGCCTCTCTAAAGTGCCACCACCAGTTGGCTCTTTCACTGCTACTTTCGATGAATAAATCTCGAGAAACGACACTGTATCTTTTTCCATCCTGTCAATCCACCTTTGACTTTTCAACAAGGTCAAGGTCACCTATAAAACCTTATTATCTTAACTATCTAAATGGTCAACAATAGTGTTTCCTACCTGCATTCCTGAGTTCTTCATAGCTTTCTCCTTGGTAACAATAAAATGAAGTGGGCTGGGATAGCCGTGCAGGCTAAGGCCCTTGCAATAGGTAATCACAGTTAAGCAACGCCGAGCATGGTTAGCACTTGGATGGGTGACCGTCCATCAAGGAAAGCCACGCTCCTTAGGATCCACCCCATAGTGTATGTGAGGCCCATCTGCCTGCCTACTGGAGGTAACTCACACCGACCGGACATAGCATTGATGACTCTACCCCGTACTTTAAATCGGTAATCGGGATGTGGTCTGGGAGATCATACTCACGGTCAAAGATCTTCATGGTAGCGCCAACCGAAAAAGCAAACAATGAAATCAAGGCATGCTGCTATTGAGGCTTTTCTCTCCCTTACTCCAATATCAGTTTCAAATTCTGCAGATATATCATTTCCAGTGTGCTCTGCTTGAAAATGGTATACACAGTTTCTCCATATTAACACTATCATATACTGCTTCATAATCAGTAAAGAGATGATTTCTGACTTGTTTATGATCAAAACTTCATTTCCATGACCATTCATACTGGAAATATTTAATATATGATCGAGCAGCCTCTCTTACAATTCTTCTAATATAAGGTACTAACATCCCAAACAGGATATTTGACAACATTTTGTAAGCAGATGAAAGGAGAGATATACTTTGTTAATTATTAATTGCTGCACTCAGTCTGATCTTCCTTTTTTGTGTAGAGGACAAATAACTGTTTTTTTCCTATCCTCAATGTCCTGAGCTTCCTGATAGATTATTAATAATAGAAAATATGATGTGGATTCCTGTAATCTTGGAGGCTTCATGACTCTTGAGGCTGCTGCTAAGCGATCAGGTCTCACCATTAATGAAAATAAGACCAAATATATGGTATCAGAAGAAGAATCTAGACATCTAAGAGTGAGGTTGGATATTTATGATCAATTTGAACGTTTCTGAGATCACATATACAGACTTTCATATCACAAATAGCAATCAGGTATCTGTAGAAGTGAAAAGAAGGATTATGTCTGCTAACTGATTCTACTATGTTGTTTTCAGTTTATTTGCAGTTTGCACAAACACCACCCAGTCAGGGTGATCAGTCACCATAAATTGCTTTGAAAGCTGTTGTGGGAATACATTTTATTTTTCACTTTGGAAGAATAGCCATCGATCATTTGAACAGTTAAGATGAAATAATGCATAAATTAGTATAAAATCGGTTTGCTCTATTTGAAATAATGAAAATAAAGTGCAGTGTTCCTTTATTATCTTACTTCTCTTAAATGATACAGTCTGAAAAAAAAAAAAAAAAGAACATAGTCTATGGTTCTCCATAGGTGAGCCAAGGTTCTGTACAAGCTAGTTTTCAATTAGGTATGAGTATAGATCTTAGATAATTATAAAATTGTATGACTATTTCTTTGGTAGGAAAAGGTGGAAAAATCATGTATTAAGATTGCAATTTCAAGAATGAACTGTTGTGTAGTGAAAGTGGAGAGAAAAAATATGATCCTTATCTAGAAAACCTGTCTCTTGTCTACTAAAATCCAAAACTAAATATTCAAATTCAAGATTTATTTTCTTCTATTTTCAATGTGTAGCTAATTCATCACTTCTGGAGTTCATTGTTAAGAGCAGTGAAAAATCCAAAGCAGATTAATGGCAAACACATCTATCATCAAATTGTTGGCCCCTCTACATTTCCAATTATTAAGTTTGCATTTGTGTAAATAAATACCAGAATTGGGACAGTAGCTCAAAACCCATTTTCAGTACTTTTATAGATTTTAATTCCTTTCTTTAGGTTAACAAAACTTTAATAAAATAATGTGAAAAGTAATCTTAATAGACATTGATCTCCAAAATCCAATACACAATATATGGATCCAATAGATCCCACAGATCCTAAGGGATTGGAAAGAGTTCAAATGAGGAAGTAAGAACTGTAAGTGGCAATGTATAGGATTGTCTCGTTACTCGAGTTAAATAAAACAAAACAAGTTACTTTACTACAAGGAAGCTCTTGCTACTTGAAAAGATTAAACTCTTGAAACTTGAAATAAATCAGGTACTTCTTGTAATTTTATTACAAAACAGTGTTAAACATGTCAATAGATGTTAGACCCCTCTGTCATGGATGAGGCTGAGAGCTCAATTCCACATATTTATGAGGAGGGTTAATCAGAGTCGCAGCTCCAGGGCCAAAGCTCCAAAGGGGTATACTGGCAAAACCTACAAGGTTTTATTGCTTCACTTCTAAATTCACATTAAAATAAAGTATAGATAACAATATTTTTGTTGCATACTCTATAAAAGGTTTTGGTTGAGTTTTAGTGGTAAATTTAATATTTGAGGAGGTCCAACAAAATTATCCTAAGGAACCGGAAAAATTATGCCTAGGACCCTTGGTTTCTTTCCATGGCCCTGGGTAGGTGACTGTCTATTTAGAAGCTCATAAATTTCAGCCATCATCATGCTAAGAATGCTATAATCGATAAGCTCTTACAAAACTGGTTCAAATATTTTAAAAAGGAATATGTCACAAAAAAGGTAGCTTGACCATGAATGGTAACATAATCGCATAAAAAAATATAAGGAAAAATTTTATTATGATTGACATAATTATAAAATTTGGGGATTGGAAAAGTAAATATATGACCAGCTTGATATTATAAACAACTTCGGTGTCTTGGGCAAAATGTTGGAATGGTAGGCAATTTTTTTTTTTTGTTTTGCAAGAAAATTATGTCACTAGTATCAAATGGAAAATCAAAATATGTGAATGATCCCAAAATTTTCTCAGAGTGTTGGAATTAGTTAGGTTATTGATTTATTTTTTTTTCTGTAGAGTAAAATATTTTTTATTAACTTATTAGTAACTAATTAGTCATGTTAATTTTATTTAACACTTAAACAAATGGTAACAATGGTATAATGTGGTGACAATGGCAGGAGGGACCTTAGTTTGGTTTAGAGCAGATGGAAAGGAATAAGATTAAGGGGTAAAGAATTTTTTTTTTATCTAAGCCATTTTTTTTTTATCTAAAACTTATAGCTGCCTCTGAATGTATGTAAATTTTGACGACTCCCAGGTTCAAAAGGAATAATAACAAGATTATCAAATGACTCATTTTCCTTTAGGGTAGGTATTATACAATAAAATAGTGCAGATGTTACCAAGGACATTATTTTCAATTCTACTGGAATGATAAATGACCATATTGATTGTATTTAAATAATTCTGCAAATTTCTTTTTAATTTTTGGTTTTTATTAAATGATTTTAAGTATCTAAGTTTTTAATTGATATAAAATTATACAAATTTAAAACTTAATTGGATATTTTTGCTGATTATCAACAAATAAAACATTTTAAAAAATAATTGTTCTGATGCTTTATCTATTCTTTATAGTGTTTTATCTGATGCAAGAGAATTAAAAGAGTTTCCAAGTTTAAATGGAACTTCAGCTTTGGAAATACTGAGAATTGACAGAGCTAGTATACGTTATGTTCCAGAAACTCTGTGTAAAACTTGTCCTAGAATCAAAAGTCTGTAAGTAATCATCAATTTCTTCTATTAAAAAGAACTGTTATTTTTCTATCCAGGTGTCATCTAATTAAGAGTATATAGATTATTATTATCACAATTTAGGATTTTATTCAAAGTTTATATTAATCTTAATCATAATGCTGAAAAAAAACATATCAGGATTTCTCTTTAAAAAATGTTCAATGAGTATTGTTTATACACAATGTCTTTAATAATGTTTGAAGTAAAATAAGATTTATGCCAAAAAAAAAATGTTTTTAAAATATGCCGTTCTTTAAATTTTTATCTATAATTATTACCTGTATAATAATCACTAACTACTGCCACAAATGCGGCCGATAATCGGAATCCCCAGCTCATGTGTTATTGTATGTATAACATACTCCTTGTCACCTGCTGGCACAATAATATAAAGCATCGTATAGCCAAATTCCTTGAAATGAAGAACTATAAATGTTTCCACAGAGTTTAATGCTTGGATACAGAAGATTCAACAAGGTCAATTGACATTCTTACTTTCAATGTGATGGAAAAGGAGGCCCTCATAGCCTCAACCCAATGATCAGGATCAGGATTTCAAGGTACAGACAGAGAAAGAGGAAATTTATATGAAATGCACACCTTGCCTGAAGGAAAAATATAGAATTCTGCGAGAGACAATACTCAGTTAAAGGGCTATGGTTCAGAAGCAGGGGAACCACCCCTCTTACTACAAGTAATTTCTTGCAGAGGCTCGGTATTGGAAGAGAGCAGATGCAGACCATGGCAGAAACTGTTATTTTGGACTTATTAGGAATCCTCCATCACCATATATATTGTTCTTGGCTTTCACTTATTTGATTCTATAAACCATTCTTGGCATATCTGATATGTATTCCTATGGTCCAACCTAACTCTCTCTTATTTTTTTTTTTTTACTGTATTATCTATTGATTGATGAGCATGCTGTGTTATTTAGCTACTCAACACAGTTGAGCAGCTGTGCAATGTTGTTGTATTTCTCACTTTAACTGTCTGATAATTATAGAAATTTTATATACTTCCATTTTCTGTTCTCCTTTCAACTAAATACCTAAGGTATCTTCATCAGATATATAATGTAAGAAACCCCCCTGTTAAGTCCTGGTTAACAATGAAAAATAATAATGAGAAGGAATTAGTCGAGGGTGCGGTCAAAAAAATAAAAAAAATTAAAATATATAAATAATTTTAATTTTTGCCGACGTTTCGACCCACTTTTGCAGGTCGTCTTCAGGGCGTTGGATGTGGCACTGCGGGAGGCGGTTGAAACTTTTTTTTTTTTTTTTTTTTTTTTTTTTTTTTTTTTTTTTTTTTTTTTTTTTTTTTTTTGACCGCACCCTCGACTAATTCCTTCTCATATCATATCAACGGTCAACCATCTCTACATCATCATGAAAAATAATAATATTCTTAACACAATTTCAAAAATAAAAATATGAAGAAAAATGTGAGAAGAATACCATTTATAATGTCAGGCTTGTGATAAAAATATTTTGATCAAATAAAAATGTAAATTTTTTCACTTACAAGATGAGTATACAAAAAACTGGTGAAGAATTGCTTGTTGATTTAAGCTGATCTGAGGTAGTTTTAGTAGTTTTATACAACTTTTGATATTCTATTTATAGTAAATGAGAGTATAATTATTTAGCTTAATCTTTTGATTATACTTAATGCATTAATAATGTACTAATTCTATAAAAGAGGGGAAATACTAATTCACTATTTTCTCTGTTTTTAGAGATATGAAGCTAAATGAGCTGACTCATGTTCCTAATTTATCAGGTTGTAAAGACTTAAGAATTTTGTAAGTACTTTTTTTATTGATGATTGTGTCAATTTTACTTAACAGTCACGTTAGTAATATATTTAGCTCTAAAAAACTTTTAATAGTCAAATTAGAATCAAAATTATATAATAAATTTAAAAATATAATATAGGAATTTTAAATAAATTAATAAAATATTTTCCAAAAGTTATTCATTTCTATTTATATACAGTTAAATATTTACAGATCCTTCAAAGCACAAATTTTAGAAATTAGATTTTATTGGCAAATGCACAGATAATCTAGCTCCTTGAAAAAAGAAAGATTCCAATATACAAAAGGCTATTGTAAAATAAACTATAGGAATATGATGAATAAATTGAGAGACATATTGTTATCTTTTCTGACTACAAACATAATACAACCCACCCAAAAAAAAAAAAAGTGCATAAAAGGATCTACAATTAATAATAGATAAATCATGCATCTTTTTATTGTTTTAAATTAGCTATAAAGTAATTTCAAAAACAATTTTACTGATACTAACATAATAAATATATTAATTTTCCATTCTAAAAATATTGTTTTTATTTCTTAGATTAAAAGATTCTTTTTTACTTTTATAGGGATTGTTATTTCCTTTGATGGCTGTCATGGTTCCATAAACATGTAATTATTTCTTTATTTTTTTACAGGGACTTAGCTGGAAACAAAATTAGTTCATTGGAAGGGCGCCTGTTTCAAGGTTTAAGTCAAATGCATGATCTATTATTGTCCAAAAATGAAATTACTAGCATCCCAAAAGATGCTTTCTATGGTCTTTCAAAATTACAAGTATTGTAAGTACTTATATTGATTTTTTGTAACAATATTTTTAGTAGAAAAAGGCCTTTTTAGTCTCGATAAATAATTACTTTATTTCAAATTTATCCAAATTTTCGGCTCTTCAGGCATCTTCAGGGATAATCTGATTTTACATATAATTTAAATTTTCATCTGAAAAACATATACAAAAATCTTTCAGAGGATTTACTATTAGACATTAGCCCATTTATAATACCATAATAATAACTTTAAAAACAATATTCACCAGTCAACAATATATATATATATATTTTAAATTTTTTAACAGTAAAATTTTTATTTTTGTTTTATCAGCTGATAGATTAAGAAATACCCCAATCAGAGGTCTAGTAATATCATTGTTTATTCACTATATTTATAGTTTCAGAAAAAAAATTATTTAAATTCTTGGAATCAGTTTTAAAATCTACCACCCTATCAAGGCTCTCTGATATATAAAGTGCCTGCAAGTATTTTAATTTTTGTTCAGAATAATCTTGATGGAGGATCACCGGTTTCTCAAAGTCAAATTTATGTTTTAAGTCAGATGCGTATTTGGCTAAAGCTTTTTCCCTTTATTTTTGACTATATAATTAATACATGAATTTTTATGTTGGAACAGTCTATTGTTGAGGTTTTGGGTTGTCATGCCTATATAGGAATTCGGAAAATGTAGACATTTAATTTCATAGATTAAATTATAATTTTGGTTAGTAATTATTTTATCTTTAAGAGCTGTCAAATTGTTGTGAAGGTTGTTTGAGATTCGGTATGCTATTTTGATTTCATCAATATTGTATTCCAAAAATGTTTTTGTGAGGGAATCTGGAAGGTGTTTTATATATTTTAAAGGTACATATCTAGAAAAAAGTGGACTATCCTTATTTTTATCATTAAGTTTTATTGGTTTATTTATTTCCTTTAATATTTTATACCACATAGTAGTAATTAGCGAGTCAGGTTATAAATTCTTTTAGAGAATTTTGAATATTTGCTCTTTCGCATTATTTAAATAATCCCTGTCCGTAAGTTTTATAGCCTTACCCATGAAATTATTAATCACATTAAATTTTTTATTAAACGGGTGGTGGGATAAGTAATTTAAAATTCTATCACTGCAATCATCTTTCTTTGTCCCCTTAAACTTCAATTGACCATTACAGTTCATGAGCAAGACGTCCAAAAAACGAATGCAGTTATTTAGTTATATGCATAAATTGTAGACTATTGTGAAAACTATTGTACATATTCAGGGTATTATCGATCTGATCTTTATTTATTATCATTAAAATATTGTCTACATATTTTAAAAGTAGCTTCGGCTCAGATTTTAATTTTTTGCAAACATATTTTATTAATTTATTCATTATGATCCCGCTAATACTAATACTTAGGGTTTCCAATCACCCCCCATTGGTAAACCAGTCAACTGATGGAAAAGTCTATTATCATACATGAATATACCATTGTTACATTTAAGTTTCAAACCCTCCTTGTAGATTTGTTTATTGATTATAGGTCTGTGGCTCCTAATAGTGTCACATTTCTCATTAATTATATTATAAGCTAAATCTAAGGGAACCTGTGTGAAAAGAGATTTAACATCAAAACTAACAAGAATCTCATCCTTTATTAGATGTTTATCACTAATTTTTTCTTTTACTTTAAAATAATTATTTACATCATAGTCATTATTCTATTTAAACAATCTAATGAGCTCTTATAGAATTTTGTTAATTTCTCGGTGGGCCCTTTTATATTGTTTACAATCAGCCCTAAAGACTTATCAGGTTTGTTTAATTTAACCAGTCCGTATATTCTATGGCAAATCATAGTATGCATATTTAATCATTTCTTCTGATATCATCAATACATTTATTTTTATGTAATTTACCAATGAATTTATTACATTTATTAGTCAGCTCATTTAGTGGGATTTTTTTCTGATCCACTCTTAGCTCACTATGTACTTTATTGTCATTAAGTAAGAAACATATTTTTTGGTTGTACGCATCCTTTGTCATTAATAAGATACATTTCGTTTCATCCGACTTAATAATATATAGATTAGGTAGGATTATTATTCATAAATTGTTTAAGATCCAACAAATCCTTCTTTAAGAGCCATGAAATAAGGCCCCTTTTGTATGGTTTATTGGTTAAAAAATTGTTAATTTTTTGAGAAATGTTGTTTCTGACTCCATTTTTATGATTATCGGGAATAAGAATTGATTGCAAAATACTCTCGGTCTCAGTAATAATATTATAAATGTCTTTTTAAATTAATAGGAAAAACATTAATATTTTCACCAAGGCTAAGTAAATTCAGTATGTTTTTAGGGATATCCAGATTCATGAGGTTCTCAACAAATCTCTCTTTATTTATTAATAATAGACATCTTACTTGATTTATTCATTATTCTCAGGTTTATATTAATATTTCTACTATCTAAAATTGTTTTATTATTTGGAAAAATTGTTTATAGTGATGATATGGTTTATTCAAAGAAAAATTAAGTATTTTTTACTTTTATCGATATTTTATTTATATTATATATTATATTTTTTTAATAATAGTAGTTAATTGTTGACTGTAGAAGATATATTGAAAAGAAGTTTGTTGGGGTTTTCTAGCCTATAATAGTACAATTTATTTATTTTTATTTATTTAATTATTTATTCTTGGCTCTACGGTCCTGTAAGAACCTGGGCCTCTCTTATGATCCTTCGCCACTCTCCTCTATTCTGAGCGAGCATTCTCCATCTTCGAATTCCCATCCTTTTCAGGCTGTCCTTTACCTGGTCCAACCACCTCAGACGTGGTCTTGCTCTTTCACATTTTCCAGCAGGCCGATTCTCTAGCAAGCATTTGGGAATCACGTCTCGGGACATATGGGCCACATGGCCCAACCATCTGATCTGATTTCCCCTAACAATTGAGACCAAATCCGCACTCACATACATTTCATACAGCTCTTTATTAGTGTGAATTCTCCATAGTCCCTGTTTGCGCATCGGGCCATAGATCATGCAGAGAACCCTTCTCTCCCATGCGAGTAGCCTTTTTTCCGATGCTTTGGAGATCGCCCAAGTCTCAGAGCCGTAGGGGACAATGGGTCTGATGACTTTCTCATACACCGTGATCTTTGTTCTGTAAGAAAGGGATCTGTAATTTAATATTTTTCACTTTGTAAAACAGCACTTATTCCTGGCAGCCATTCTTGCTTTTAATTCTTCCACCATTTCATTGTTTTCTATAATTAGTGCTCCCAAATATTTAAAATGTTCGACCACTTTTAGGGTGTGGTTACCAATTGTGACACGTTCGACTATTTCTCTTGGCTTTTTTGATGTTCGCATGTAAACAGTCTTCTGTTTATTTATTTGTAGCTCTAGTTCTTTAGTTGTGGTTTCGAATTCTTGTAATGCCCCTGCTGATGATGTTTTATTTTTTGTAGTTATCAATATCATCAGCACAAGCCAGATGCTGTGTCATTCTGTTATAAATTTTGCCACCAGGATATGTCCGGATCGCCCTTATTGTATACTCTAAAGCAATATTAAATTGAGTAGGGGATAAAGGATCTCCTTGCCTAAGCCCATCTTTCACCTCAAAATCCTCTTAAAATTGACCATTAATCTTCACAACTGATCTACTACCGCTTAGGGTCATTCTATGCAAGTACAAAATAAAAATAAATAAATACAATTCATTTATTTTTACTTTGTACTTTCATTGACTGAAATCATCGAACAACTTCTCTTCAATATATTTTTGATAATTTTATCTCTAATAACATTAATGGAATATGAAGTAGTTTTATTTTTATTTTATTTTTTATTTTTTTACAATTTAATAAGCTGAAATTTCCTGATTTGGTATCATATTAAGAGATATCACATATAAAAAATACAATAGATCTGTAAATATTTTTAATACATAATATGAGTGGCTTCAAGGTAGACATGGGCTATTTTCAAGAATCTAAGAAAAAACATCTTATGCTAGTTTCAATTAAAAAAAAAAAAAAATTGTTTTTCATAATTCAACTTAAACATTCTTTACAAAATATTAGAATTGACCACTCATATGTACATGTGTATATGTATAGCTTGACGATGTAGATAAAATAGAGTGAATACAGAAGACCTCAACAAAGCGAGTTCAATTTGGAAAATGACTAATTGGATGAGGAAGAGGCTAAGAAAGGAAGACCTAAAGTGTCCGGCAGATGAGCAACAAAATCACACTCTGTCTGCGAGCTAAGTGTTGAGTTTCTATAAAGGTTGAGGGTTCTTGTTCTTTCTCCTGATATGTATATATATATATATATATATATATATATATATATATATATATATATATATTATACTAGTAATTATATATAAATACAAATATATATACATTAGGAGAAAGTACCCTCAACCTTTATAGAAACTCAACCCTTAGCTCGCGGACAGTGTGTGATTTTGTTGTTCATCTGCCAATTTTAGCTCAACACATGTACATATATATACTGTGGTTCAAAAAAGTATTGGCACACCAACAATTTTTCTGAAAATCTCAATAGGATTAAGATATTTTCCAGAAATAATATTTATATAACAAAGTAACCTTTAAGAATTATATTTATAAACAATGAATGTTCAGAATTCAATAGCTTTGTTTATAGTTAACATAAAGTGTAAATTTTGAGTGTCAAAAAAGTATTGGCACAGTTTTAAATGTTTAATGAAGAGAAGGATAATGGGGGTGATCAGTCAAAAATAAAAATGGCAAGAGATCGCTATTGATAGAATGTATCAATATACATTCTATCAATAGTGATCTCTTCGATCAATAACGATCAGCCCTGATGAAGGCCTGAACTTCGGGTCAAAATGTCAGCAAATGTTTAAAAAAATATTATTATTTATTTTTAACTGATCACCCCAACTCTCCTTCACTTCATTATTCACTACAGTCAACCATCAATCTACAATTTTAAATGTTTACTATTAGCTAAAAAAAAAAAAAACCTGTACTACTACAACCCATGAACAGTCTTGGGTTGAGTACTATTTAGGGAAAGTACTGTTTCAAGGCATACAGTTGTGCAGAGAGAGGATCGGGCCAGGATCACGCTCAACCGCCAGGTTTTCCTCCTTGATCAATTATTTAGTTAAGGGTACCCACTTTATAGAGGCTGGGTGTGCCTCAGGAGGGTCTTCCTACCCTAGGTTCGCCCCATGGTCAATGAACCAGAATAAATAATTTTTCTGCCATGAGCCAGAATTCGAACCTGGTACCTTGAGCACCAGAAGCTTAGTGCCCTACCACTGAGCTACCCCCCTCCATACTATTAGTTCCAGTCAAAATATATTAAACCAAATTAATTAAAGCAGACACATTTTGCATCCATGAAGAACCGCAGGTAGAATAATGATTTTTTTAGATTCTAGTTTTTAAGTTCTAGGAGAGGAGGCGCGAGCTAAGTAGTTTTGTCAACCTGCCTCCAGCGCCTTAATCCCCTCTGCAATTTTGTTTTTTCTAGTTATCATAGACCCTAGATACCTAAACTTGTTCAAACATATTACCTTCTCTGCGTATTCAAACATATTACCTTCTATGTCAATATCACCAGCATTATTATCATTTTTGCAGCTAATTTGTCTTATCCGTTTTCTTTTCGAGCCCTAGTTCTTTATTGTTTCATTGTCGTATTTAGTTTTATAGTTTACTTGTTTTCGCTTAACAGGACCAAATCATCCACATAGCCCAAGCACGGGTGTTGTCCCACCCAGATCCAACCCTTTTTCAGTACAAATTACCTCCCTAATGGTATGTTCTAATGCAAAATTAAAAATGATAGGTGAAAGGGAATCCCCTCAATTTAAACCCAAACGAACCTCAAACTATTCCAATAAATAATTAACGATTCTAACTTTATTGAGTGTTTCCTTCAAGCACATTATAACTTGATTTACTAATTTTTTTGTAATCCCCTGCTTGATTAGAATATTATTCAGCTTCTGGCGGTCAATAGAATCATAAGCCTTTTTGAAATTGATATACAGCTGGTGAACAACACTGAAAAATTGTACCCTAATTTTTTCTCCAATATTTGCCGTAAAGAAAATATTTGATCAATAGTTGAATGGTTCTTTCAGTCTGACAGTTTCCAATAATTTCCACATCATATTCCGGTGTATTCGGTTGGTAAGGATTAATGTGAATATTTTATAAAACACCAGAAGGAGTGAGATTCCTATTTATTTATTACAATCCATCCTTGAACCCTTTTTATGAATCGTAATAAGAACACATTCTATCCATTCTTCAGACAATTTCTCATTCTCTCAGATCTTTTTAACCAATGAATGTATTTTAGAAACTCCAGCTTCTCCGCAAACCTTAATTAGTTCACTAGGAATATTATCGGTTCCCGCTGCTTTATAAAATTTTAATTTTCCGATATCTACTTCAACTTCCTCATTACTCTGTTCTTCCACTAACGGTTCAGCACTCTGATACTCAGAAGGAGGATACAGATCATTATTTCACGTATTTAAAATATTGTCAAAATGGTTCTTATACTTATTTAAGATGTCTACCGGATCGGTCAGAATATTGTTGGTTTCATCCATAATTCCAGACGCGACGAGCCCAAACATTTACATGATTCATATATATCTTTGTGCATGTCTCTTTCATTATTTTTGATCTCATTAATTTCTATTTTTATTATTTTATTTTTAAGATACTCTCTTTTTTTGTTTTTGAGCTATTTAGGCATTTCATCCTTTAAGGTTCAGAAGTTTTCAAGATTATCTCCACTAGGATTATTTAGAGCTTTTAATTAAGCAGCTTTTCTTTTATCACACATGTTTAAACAATCTTCATCGAACCACAGTTTGTTCTTTTTATTTTCCTTTTTCCGAAGACACAAGTTACCAACTACTTTAATATTATCCCTGATCCCTCCCTACACATAACTTGTCTATATCATCGAGGTCCTTGTCAGAAGGTTCTAAAACTTCAAACCTATTATATATATATATATATATATATATATATATATATATATATATTTGTTTTATTATCTTGAATGAAAAAATAAAGATAATGCAGACAAACTATAAGAGATTTATAAGATTTATTTAACATTATTATCAGAAAGAGTTGGTCAGGGGTTGCTGTCAAATGAATACTATATATCAAAATAGTATTTTATTGTTTACGCCGACGTTTCGACCCACTTTGTAGGTCTTCATCAGGACCAGGCACTGCAGTCTACCAACTGCTTCTTGTGGTGCTTGATATCATGCCCTGATGAAGACCTACAAAGTGGGTCGAAACGTCGGCATAAGCAATAAAATACTATTTTGATATATAGTATTCATTTGACCATACCCCCTTACCAACTCCTTCTCATATTATCATCACGGTCAACCATCTCTATACTATTATAACATTATTATCAATTACTGGCCTTAGACAGTTGGCTCCCCTTTGGCAATTAAGTCATTAATGCCAAACTCTCTCTCTCACTAAAAAAAAATATTTGGGAGGAAAAAATTAAACATAAGTGGAGGACATTGTATATTGTATTAGAATTTCAGTTCATTCAGTATGTCCCTAATTCAGTTTCGTTATTGATAGGCTTTGTATTTTTTTACAGTTACCATAAGATTTAGGGCACCCTTCCTGATTTGTGTCAGGTGGCACTCTCGCTATTTTGACATTATTATAAGCTACAGTGACAAGTATTTATTATTTTATAAATATTTATTGGTATATCATAAATTTAATTACTTTTGTAAATTTTTTTAGGGATTTGGAAAGCAATCTTATCAATGATGTTCATGAAGATGCATTTATATATATCAATCAATTAGAAGATTTGTAAGTATAATTAATATATTAATGTTATGTATAAATATGATTTCATTATATTGGTACATTTTTTTTTTCAGAAATCTTGGAAATAATATCTTTCCTATTCTGCCAACTGAAGGGTTGGATCGTTTATTGCACCTGAAAACTTTCAACAATCCATACTTAAGGATATTTCCTCCACCAGAAAAATTCCCCAGAGTTCAGACATTAGTATTGGCTTACGCTTACCATTGTTGTGCATTTCTATCTTTGATTCCTGCTGACCCTCCTCCAAAAAATCCAGTACATGAATCAGTACTATTTCCAACAGATAACGAATTTGACATGAGTTTATGGAATTCAAGTTTGACTGACATTTGGCCACAACTTCGTAAGTTATAAGATAATTTATAATATATTTTATATAAACTTTTATTATATGAAGATTGATATAGGTTTGAATTTACATATGAACGCACATTATATGTATATATTAGATAACAGGTGTCCATAGCTTGCAAACGTTCTTTTTCAAAAGTATGAAGAATGTAAATTATTAGAAATTTATTTCTAACAAAAATAACTGATGATATAGTTTCATTTCCAATGTTTACTGATGCCAATAATTATTTTTAAATGTTCAAATTTTCTTGAATATAATGAGAATTATTTTACTACACCTATGAATTTATTAAATGATATAATAATTAAATTATTTTTGTGGAATTGAACAGAAAAGAAATGCTTAGCAACAATGGGCCCAGTTTATTGGCTCGGTTTCTCTAATTCTTTATAATTACTATTCTAACTCTATAATAGGTTTTTAAAATATTCTTTGAATTATTCACAATATTTAAACAAAATATAATATGACCTCTGGTAGTTTATAGGAAAAACAAAATAATTAATTCAGCTGTATATTGAAATAATAATTAGGTCATATTTAATATATATTGTGTCCAAATCCTCTAATTCAATCTCTTTCCAACTCCAATTATTCACATAATACAATATTGGAATGATAATGGTTCAAAGTTAAGGAATCCTAGCAGAGGCCAGTTTCTCCAGTTTATGAGACAATCTCTCACTCTTACTCTACTTCAAATTGCTTTTATATTTGTGGAATAGTTAATGGAGGTGTACTGGGATCTTTTGGATGCCTGCTTTACCCCTACCTAATATACATAATAGGACATGTACAGACACACACACACACACACATATATATATATATATATATATATATATATATATATATATATATATATATATGTGTGTGTGTGTGTGTGTGTATGTATGTATTATAGTATGAAAGGAAATGAGGCTATGAAACTAAATGTGACACCTTAGCAATCTTCAGTGAAAAATGACCAGGCACTTTCACCCCTGAGGGTGGATTGAAATTTATTGTATTTTGTGGTGAACTCATGGAATAAACCACAGCCTATTGACTCTGGCAAGAATAGGTTAACTTCATTTAGGATGACCGACCTGTTTGCCAGATATGACCAGGTAGGAGATGAAACATAAAAAAAAATAATGAATGGAAAAGCATAGTTATTTATTTCTTATAAGTGAGATAGATTGGAGTAATAACTTATGACAGGTTATTTGTTAAAAATCTATATTGATGGCTACATTTACTGCATTGTTATTTTCATTTTCAAAAAGTTATTCCCAAATGTTTATCCCTGTTAAAATATCATTTTATTGCATTGGTTGATTTCAAAATAATTATTTTACTCTTCACTAGCAAAATTTGTTTATAGCTGTTGATATACTTTATTGTAATTTTGTTAAATATTAATATCTTAAAATACTACTGGATTTATAAAACTTATATCTTTTTTTCCTCACAGAAAATCTAAGCAAAAAGTTTGGTACTCAAATAAACCAGCTTTGGGATAATTTTGGAACAGACTTTACTTATCCTGGAAACCTTCCTTCATATGTAGAAGAATATTTTGAAGAGCAGGAATCAAATAAACAAACAGACAGCCCTCCTGGAAAAATTCAGTGCCTACCTACACCTGGTAAATGTTATCAATTAAGAAAGTCACTGCTTTCCTAATTTATTGAATCTCAGTACTGTGCATTCTGTGTTTATTATTTAATGTTTTAAAGATTGGTATCAATCTTATTATGTTTTGAATAAAATTGTGCCTGATTTCTGTGAATGAAAATTGAAGTTTGCAGTATGTTGTAATTAGAAAGTAATTTAAGTTAATTATTTCAAGTTTCATAAATTTGATCACTGTAAACTAATGGATTTGTTTAATGCTTCAATTTTTAAAAATTAGAAGGAATTATTTTTTGATATTACAATCATATATTATTAATATTTAATTATTAATTGACTTTAAAGTAAAACACAAAAATTCTTATTCATCACTTTTTTCCCAGTTTGGTGATGTTCTTCAAGGTCATATCATAGGTCCTATCCTTTACACAGTTTATTCAGCTTACATCCCAACACTGTTATTACCATGTATACCAATGACACATGTATCCTATCAGTTGATAACGATCCATCAACTGGATCCCAAACTCTTCAATCACATATCACAAACCTTGAAGAATAGTGTAAAAACTAGAGTATTAAAATAAATCTCATCAAATTACCTAGAGTACTAACAGTGGATAGTTTCTCAATAAGCGTTTTCATGTTATTATATTCCTGAATGCACATTTACCAGATATATTTTTATTTTAATACAGTTTTAAATATCATGAAAAACTTATTAATTGATTATGAAAAATAAAATTTGCATATTTAGTTCATTACAATTTCCATTAATATAAAGTTGTGTCAGTTACATTAATGTCAGGCATCAGACTTATGGTAAAATAACTGATTTAAAAAAATTAATAATAATAATGATTTTTAATGTAGTATTTAAGTAATTTTTAATTGACTTACAAGAGGAATATAAAGTAAGTGGATCACCGATTTCATCCAATTTTTTTTCGGTGATACTATATCGAAAAATATTTGACACATGTCCCGGTGTTCATTATCTTTACTCCCACATTGCTACGCTGCACAGTAGTGTAAAAGACATTATTTTCAGAAAAACTTCGCCATCCTTAGAGGTACAACTTTAAAGTTCAAATGGGGGTTATTATATATGTATTTTTTTATTCTGAATGAAATGAAAAAAAAAAATCGATAGCTTAAAAACAAAGAACAGTAAGTCTGTACAAATTAATTTTTTCTATACTTAATGGTTCAAAAATATGACATTTCAATGACAAAATCAATAATTTCTCTCTTACTATGCCCTAAAAATATATATTGAAAATATCTGTAAATACCGTTAATTTTTTGTGAAATCTCTGAAAATATCTCTTTAATTTGTATTTTTAAGGGTTAAATTTGGATGAAATTGGAGAAAGTAGTTATTGACCTACATTTTAAGGATATTAAGAAAAGATGATATAGCACAAAAAGTGTGATTGGAATACTTCCATTTTAAGGGTTTTTTTCCACCTCTGAACCACATTGCTATTTATCAAATATAATTTTTTTTTCAAAACCAGCCTTGTAATTAGAGTAAAGATATTTTAGGAAGAAACAAGTTTTATATTCGCCTTTGACACCTTAAAAAAACCTTAAATCGAAATATTTTCATAGCAAATGAAAAATTAAAATGTTTGCTCGAAATTTTGCTGACAACCACAAAAATTGAGATAACTTCAGGAAAGCTCCACCGATTCACACGAAAATTATTAGGGATTTGGTGCTATATGCTACATGAAATGGTATAGATCCGACCTCCATAATCAAATTAGAACCAAATATATCAAATAAAAATTATTGAAAAGTTTTTCTTAATTTCTAGCTAAAAAAAGAATGAAATCAAAGTTATCAATGTGGGTTGGAAGTGCAGTAATTCAGTTTTCAAAGAGTTTTACTAATGTTGAATTTGAACAAAATTCTTGGAAGTTATGAATGCGTTAGTTATCAATCAGAAAAAAAAAAAAATCCTCTAAGAAAATCAAGTACTGAAGTTTGCAATTTTTATTTATATAAAAATTTGTATTTAAGAGTTTTAAAGGATACTAAAAACGAATCTAACTTGTTTTTTCATAACAAAAATTTACTTGGCCTACTTTAATGGAAGCGCTTTTTGGTTTTTTGTAAGTTATAATACATTATAACTCCTTTAATGGTAATTTTTTTTCTTATTCTGCACAAAAAAATAAATTTATTGATATATATATATATAACCTGAAAATATGGGCAAAAATAAATAACATAAATTTTGTTAGAAATCATAAAAAGCATTTTTTTTCTCAGTTTCTAAGAACCATTGGAACGAACGCTGAATGCCATTATATGTGTCTAATATTTTTCGATTTAGTATCACTAAAACAAAAATTGGTTGAAACCAGTGACCCTCTGAATGTAAATTCCCTTTGTTAGTGTCAGATAAACAAATTGAAGGTTTATTGGAGAAAATTACTAATTAAGAAAGCCTTAAGTTATTTTTCAAGGCTCATTCATCCTTAAGTGGAAACCATTGCCTTTACGACTAAGATGCAAAAACTAAACTTTATAACCATGCATTTTAATTTTTTTTTCATTCTAATTTATATTTTATATTTTTTAAAAATATTTTTCACTAAAAAAAATTAGAAAGCTTAACTGAGGGCTGGAGGAAGATTAAATAGTTGGCTTACAAATGGTTTCAAGTAATAAAATAAACTGTGCAAATGTGCCTATGCAAATGTACATTGAGTACTTAAAATTATTTTAAATTTTTATTTAGTATAAAAGAGAAAACAACGGACAGACTTAGTTTACATCCTATTAAAAATATAAAAGGCTAGAAAAAATCATTAAAGTCAACTTCAAGGAAATTTGATGCTGTTAGTTTAATATCCACATCGAATTTTGTATTCATGGCATCACTTTCTTAATTTTTTTATTTTAATTGATATTTGATTTTTTCTTTCAAAATTATCAGATGTCTTAATTTTTTAGTTCTTTGTATATATCTGTTTTTACTAAAGTGATTTAAATCTTGTGGTATAACTAGCTGATTAATCATCATGAAAAAGATGTTTAAAATAGTATAATATCCCAGTTTTGATCATCTTCAAGCGGATTGACACCTAAATGCCTCTCATACCTTTCCTTTTAAAGTTTTTATTCCTGCAAAAGAAGCAAGTCCATAAACAGTCCAAAGACATTCAATGAGATAAAAGCTGGAATGAACAGTATTGTTATACTTATCATCACAATGTAACAAATACCTTATGCCTGTTGAAAAGTTACAAAAACAGTCAAAAGGGACTAAATCATTAAAACTGTGCACAATATCACAATTTAGTTAGGTTGGAACAAAACGTGACTCAATGTAAATAAACACTCATGCTTTGATTATTACTAAATATCTTTTATATCAAAATAAGTGACACAAATTGATTGAATAGTGTGTTTACTATTTTATTTTAATGATACTAGTTTGTGTTAATGAACTATTAAAATTAGTTGGTTTAAAATTATATAATACATTTGGGATGTTTAGCCTTAGAATTGAAATTCTTAAATCGGTTTTTTTAGTGTAACTAATAAATTTAGAGTCACCAGTTTCATTGTTTCCAACTAATATTGTTATTATTAGTGACAGTTTAACAATTTCTCTTGTCTTCTAACTCTCTCATTTATAAATGTCCTATATGATTATATACTAATTTCATATTCTTAGGATTCTCTTTTGAAATATTATCATATATCATCAGCTTTATCAGAAATATTATGTAAAGTAAATTACTTAGAAAAATATTATTTATTTTCTTCGTCTTTCTTTTTTAGGTCCTTTTTTACCTTGTGTTGATCTGTTTGACTGGTGGACATTGAGATGTGGAGTGTGGTTAGTATTTCTTCTTGCAATGTTGGGAAATGGAACTGTGGTGTTTGTTCTAATATTCTCTAGAAGCAAAATTGATGTTCCTCGATTCCTTGTTTGCAATCTAGCTGCAGCAGATTTTTTTATGGGTGTTTATCTAGGTACTTGATAGTTTATACTATCAACTTATAATATGTGATATGTATTGTTAATGATATAAATTTGATTTTTAAAAATCGTACATATGATTGGAAGCACCGTTATCATTCTCAAGTAGTTTTCTTGGATACTTTAAAGCATTCATTTTCATTAAGTTTGCTATAGCAAAGTTTTTTTTATTTTTAGATTTAGTATATGTTACAAAAAAGTTTAAAAGCCCATTTATAATGTTATTGTTTAAAAATTATATCCTAAATATATTTTTTAAATTAAAATATTTCTTTTATCAGTTTTATGTGAGTATGTGTTAAAAAATATAAAGGTAAGTTAATTAAAGGAAATTAATTATTTTGTGGGATATGGCACCTCCGAATATTCTGGAGAAATGTTCTATTTCAATCCCCACTAATACTTTTTTTTGTTGGGATGTTAGTTGAGAGTTGCAGTCACAGTAGAAACTCAAATAAAAAAAATAATATATTAGAGAGGTGACGTCTATAGGAGAAATATTATATATATATATATATATTTAGTTTTAGATTGAATGTTTACCTACTAACTAAAAGTACATGATACATACCGTTGCCATCATGTAAAAATGTTTGTATAAGTTAGTCATCATAAGCAATTGAATCTAGAACAAAAAGGAGCATCCACCTCTGTTTGTTCCAATTTCTTGTTCAAACACAACTAAATAATCCACTTTTTCTTCAGTTTAAGTTAAGTGCAGTAAAAATTGATAATTTTATTTAACTTCTAACCTGCTTATGAAGATAAATGATTTTTATTACCTCTTATTATCTTTCCTTAGCTTTTCTTTTTGTTGCTATCAGTTTGAACCCTACTTTATAATCATTTGCGACCATGATTTTTGGATGAATCAAAAAATAGAATCAGCATTCCCTAGACTGCTGTACAAACTCCCAAAATTCCTACCACCAACATACTTCCTTACTATCTGTTTCTACCTTACTGATAGATACTTCAAAATAAATCACAACAATGCCTATTCATCCCTCTTTTTCCAGTCTGCTGCTGTTACTCAAGTTAGTATCCTAGGTCCTATCCTTTATACAGTTTATACAGCTGACATCCCAACCAATCCCGACACTGTCATCACCACGTGTGCCGATGATCCATGTATCATCATTTAATAACGACCCATCAATTACATCCCATACTCTTCAATCACACATCACAAACCTTGAAGAATGGTGTCAAAACTTGACAATTAAAATAAATTCCATTGAATTGCCTTTACCCTTCATCGTAAACCTATGACTTCCTGTCCTGCAGTATCCTTTAATACCCCACTTATCCCTGTTGAACAAATCCGAACTCCACCTGGACAAATCTCTAACTTGGAATCCTCAGTCTGAAATATCAGACTGAAACGACAAGAAACCGCTTAAAGTTTCCGACTCATATACATGACTATAATAAGGCCTATTTTAACTTACGGAATTGAGCCTTGGGGCTCCACTGAACCATCAAAATCCTTTCGTATCCAATCCTTCATCATTATCATCATCATGAATGGCTCTACAACTCTCGCAGAGTCAAGGCCTCCCGCAATTTCAACCACCAGTCCTCTCCAAGTAATGCTGCTGCCTTCCAGTTGTGGACACCAAGGATACTTCGGTCGTCGGCTTTCACTCTCTCTCTCTGCCTACTCTCTCTCTGAGTCTCGGTCTGCCTACCCGCCTTGTGGCGAAGATCTGCTCATCCATTAACTTCCTTAGCACATGTTGTTCAGACATACGGAGAATGCATCCCGCCCATCTCAACCTGCCAATTTTTATTAGCCTGACAACATCGGCTTCTTTATATAACTGCATCAGCTCATTGTTGGATCACATTCGTCGCTCCTGATTAATATTTATTATTGGGATGAATTTTCTTCTTAGCACACGATGTTGAAACCGATGAAGAGCTGTTTCTTGGGCTCTTGACATTGTCCAGCACTCCGATCCATAAGTTAGTACTGGTCTGATCAGTGTTTTGTACAAGAGCAGCTTGGTTTTACAAGAGATCACTCTACTTTTGAGATGTCTCTGGAGACCAAAATAAGCTCTATTTGCGACGATGAAGCGCCTCTATATTTCAGGATTTATATCGTTATTTACATTAACTTGCGAGCCAAGGTATATGAATCCCGAGACATCTTCAAAAGTCATCCCTCTGATTTCTACATTTGCCTCTCTGTGGCCTCCACCCTTTTGGTCAGCCCGCATAAACTTTGTTTTCTTCTCATTGACCTTTAAGCCAATTATCGCTGCTGCTCCTTTTAGTGATAAGAAAGCATCTTGTATAGTTGCCCTTGTTCTTCCAACCAATGCAATGGCACATTCAAGGACAATGTTAAATAGAAGACACTCCAATTTCAAAGTAGTCCGACATATTGCCTTGGATTCTGACAGTGCATTGCGCCTCCTCCATTGTCACTTGTATCAGTCGCACAAGTTTAGGTGGGATACCCAGACCCTACATATCATGGTAGAGCTCATCTCTTAGGATGCTATCATAAGCTCTCTCAAGGTCTACGAAGAGGTAGTGTATGCATACATTATACTCTCTTGCCCTTTCTAGGATTGTTCTAATAGCGAATATCTGGTCTAATAGATCTTCCTTGCATGAATCCAGCCTGATATATTCCTATTTCTCTCTCAGCGAACGGAAGTAGCTTCTGAAAGAGGATTCTTGAGTGAATTTTATACGCACACGATACCAGAGATATTCCACGATAGTTGTGACAATCCAAGATATCTCCTTTCTCATGGATTGGGAAGATGATTGCCTTGCACCAATCATCTGGTAATACTTCTTTCACCCATATTTCCATTATAACATTATGCATAAATCTTGTGAGTTCTTCCCCTTCATATTTAAACAGTTCTGAGGGTATCCCATCCGTCCCACGGGCTTTACTGTTTTTCAGGAATCCTATGAGGTCTTCCACATCTTCCATGTCGGGAGGCTTCAGATCGCCAACCGGTAATTCCTGCCTTTCCACTCTACAGCAGGGGATATTGTCATTTAAGAGTATCCAACCATTACAATCTAAAATCCTAAATGATTCTTACTTTGTTACAAATAAAATCATCCATAATAACTTTAATGTTCCAGATTTGGCCCACTCTAGATACCTGTCCTTTCATAATAAACTTCAGAACCAAACCCTCCCAACCCTCTCGTTTTAAACCTTGCTTCCTCTTCAATTCCTGATAAGTCTATAACCAACGGTACCACTTTTAATTACTGAAAAATGGTAGAGAAGATGTATTCCCATTCTCTTAAATATTGTTGTAGTTGTTACTGTTCAATTGTTTAATGGTCATGTATTGGTATTTTCCACATTCCTTGAGTAATGTATAAATATATTAAGAAAAATGTTACTCAAGTTTGTGTTACTAAAACAGATAACTTTTGTTATGTTTGTGGCCAAGTTACTCCAAAATTGCACCAAAAACTTTAATATACACTCATGAAAACGCTTATGAATGATACTTTACATTGTAAAGTTGGTAATCAAGACGAAGTCATTGGCCTCTAAGCATTTATTTGTAATTCTTTGTGAACACTTGCACTGATAAATCTATGTCATTTGCAATTCCAATTGTTGATGGAAATTTCAAAGTCACTTTGGCAACTTTTATTTTTTCATGACAAAAGTAAAAATAATTACAAGAATACCAAGCACAGCATTTATTACCCCAATATTTCTTCTGTGATCTGATGATGTTTAATCTCTCATTTCCCAACACCACTATTATTTTGATTTCTTTACTGAAAATTGGAAGCAGTATCAGGAGAACTAGGAAAAAGATTTCATCAAGATATTGCATTGATCAAGAAACCATATAATGAAAAGAGGATCTCAAAAATGTTGGGAAACTTGTTGAAGTGCATCAAAAGAATCACATCATAAATCTTATAAAATGAAGATTACAAGTGAATAGTTGGACAAATAATTTTAAATTTGTATATATTTTCCAAGTCATTATTAATAAAATATATGATAATTTTCCTATTGGTCAAACGAATAAATTTATTTATTAATTTATTTTTCTTTGACCAGATCTTTAATGTTCACTGTTAGTTCAAATTTACACTTATTGATTTTTATTTCATGATTCAAATGGACTTTCTGCATTTAAAAAGCTTTCTTTATTTTTTTTTTACTTTTAAAGAATTATTCAATTATTTTTGCTTGTTTTCCCTTGGGATGCCCTTTCTCACTGTTTCTTTCCTTAGATGTAGCAGAAGGATTTGTTGTCATAGCCTATTAGTTACTGATTCCTATGTAGTGACTGAAACAAGATACTGTATCTTCATGTCTTAAGCTCATACTGTTTTTATTTTAAAAATGAGGGATTATTGGAAAATAATCTCTGAAAGAGTGCCTATGAGCTAAGAAAATTTACCTAGGCAGGCAGACAACTTTCATTAGAAGTTTGTTTCTTGCTCTCAGCACCCCTTTTTTCCTTTCCTGAATAAAAATTTCCCATTCCTTCTCTGATTTTAATTTTTTTTATTTTTCTTAGTTCAGATTACTGGAGTGTTCAGATATTGAAGTTTGGATTACTGAGAAAGAGATGAAAAGAAATTTTATTATTTTTTGCATGTTTGAATTCTTATAAAAAAAAAAATGAAAATGTATTCCATATTTTTCAATATGTTTCCAGCTTTACCACATGGAGTTTACTTGCCACATACAAAAAAAAAAAAAAAAAAAAAAAATATATATATATACATGGTGTGCTGTTTTTTTGCTGTTTATTGTATGTTGATTTTTTTTACTTTGTTTCATCTGAATACAGTTTAAAATGTAAATTTTCAAAAGTTCCATTGGCTCTACCACATTTTTAGTTGATATGTTCATATTTTAATGTAACGTTTCTTAAAAAACAAAAGATGAGATTCATCAAATAACTTCCGCTTATCAACCTAATTTCAGTAAATTTTTTTTTTGTATAAAAATATTTTCATAAATCATAAATAATTAGAACATTTAGTCATATGTTTATTATGGATGACAACATCCGAACCCTAGCATGTGGTTCATCAGGGCAATGGTTTCTGGCTGATGTGGCATTTGAACTGTATGGTAAGATGGCATAGTTAAAATAAATATATGGTGTAAGCTAGTCTACGTATTTTACCTTATCATTTCCTTCTTGCATTAACTTAGCTAGGTAAGATGGCCCAGATAAAAACTCATATTGGGTCAGATTGTCTGCAATTACAATAAACATATTATGAGTGAAAATTCTGATTATTTATCATCCAAAATAACCTTCAAAACAATAAATAAAAATTCATTTCTAAAGAATTTTATTTTAATTAAAAATAAAAACTTCAAACAATTTATATGAATTATGACAATTCTGTGCACTGTTTCTGGTTTATCAAGCTTGAAAAAAAAAATATATTTTTCTATTTATTTTCTATGGTAATTCCATTTCATTTCTATGGAAACTTCTATTTCCTATTCTTTTTTATTAACTACTTTTCCACTACTGTTGCTATCCTTTAAGATATTTATCCATCCTTCTCTTTCTAAGGCTTTTTCTTCACTGATGCCATGAGCCGTCAGGCTTTTTTCCACCATGTCTTTCCATTTTACCTTTGGTCTTCCCTTTTTCCCTCTCCCTTCTACTTCCAGTTCCATACATATCTATAGCAATCTTTCAGGCATCATTCTTTTCACATGCCCAAACCAGCATAACCTTTTCTTTTCAATATTCACTATAATATTTATTTCCACCTCTATCATTTCCTGAATTCTTCCATTTTTGAATTTTTCTCTTCTGGATTTTTATGCTGCCCTTCTCCAAAAGTCCATTTCTGCTGCTAATAGTCCTTTTTGGTGTCTTGCATTGATGACCCATGTGCCAAGACATATGTCGTTATTGGCTCGAATATAGTCTTGTATATTAGCCTCTTTGTACTGGGATGTATATTTGAGCTCCAAAGGATACTATTGAGTATTGCTGTGACCTTTATTCCTTCACCAATTCTTCTGTTGATGTCATTTGTGGATGTGCCTTGTCTATTAAATATTTGCCCTAGGTATTTAAATTTCTCTACAGTTTCTATACCTCTTTCAATTGGCGTCTCACCAGATGAAGTGCCAAGGTGCTCTGTTTTCATCTGTTAATAGTCAACCCCCACTTTTCATAAGTCTCGACAACCTTTCTGAACATATAATTGATGTTCTCTCTATCATGGGCTTTGATTAATTGGTCATCAGCAAATATTAGGTTTATGATACATAAATTTTCCCCAATTCTTATTCCCATTTTTCACATTTTCTTTTCCACTCTCTGAGAGCAACATCAACATAAATTTTAAAAAGGGTAGGCGAAAGGCAACATCCCTGCAAAAGTCCTTTTGAGGTCTGGAATTTTTCAGAGAGACTCAACCCTAGTTTAATACAGCAGGCATCATTGTGGTAAATTTCTCTTATGATAGTTATTATGGACTCTGAGATATTTGCTACCTTGAGAGCTTTTCACAATAGCTTCCTTGGAACTGAGTCATATGCCTTTTCCAAGTCAATGAAAGACACTCCACATCTTTAGATTTTTCAAGATGATTTTCAAAGATCTATCCCATTGTAAAAATGTGATCGATGCACGATCTTCCTGCAGTAAAGCCACTTTACTCTTCTGTATCCTCATATTCCCTTTCTAACCTACTTTTGACAATTCTTCCTAGTTGTTTCAGTGACACATATACCTCTATAGTTTGTGCATACATTTGTATTACCTTTTTTATATATGGGGCATAGATACCCTAATTTCATTTCATTGGGCAGATCATTTCCAGCCAAGATCTTGTTTATTAATTCTGTGAGAATTATTGCCAATTTTTCACCACCATATTTCACTAAGAGTTGAATATAGCTCCAGGGCCTAGTGGAATATCTCTAGAACTGCTGAAATATGGTGGTGAAATCTCCTATTCAATAATACAAAAGTAGACATTATTAACTACAACAATGAAAATTCATTAGTTTTTCATCAATCTCCACTACCTCTTGCAACCTTATATTTTCCTCAATAATTTTTGTAAAATCTTTAGCTTTTCAATGGTATATTATGCATCTATATTAGTACTCTTATTTCCGGAAATTTGCTTTCAAATTGCCAAGTACTTCTCCCACTTTCTCCTTTAACTAATTAGTAAATTATTTTTATTGCTACTGAAAATGATATTTAAGACTATTGACTTTTACATTTAATATTTTGGATTTAATCAAAATCTCTAAATGTTTTTGAGAAGATTTTAAAAATGTGTAAAATTTATGGTATAAAATGCCATTTCCGGTTGTTTGATTTTGACGAAAAAGTTGCCTAATTTATTAAAATTAATTTTTAAATTTTAAACATTTCCTCATACTGTTGCAGGTATGTTAGCAGTTGTTGATGCCTCTACATTGGGAGAATTTGAAATGTATGCTATTCCATGGCAGATGTCTGCAGGCTGTCAGCTTGCTGGATTTTTGGGAGTACTTAGTTCTGAGTTATCTGTTTATACACTTGCTGTAATAACACTTGAAAGAAACTATGCTATTACTCACGCTATGCATCTAAATAAAAGACTTTCTTTAAAACATGCTGGTTATATTATGCTCTGTGGTTGGACTTTTGCAATTTTAATGGCTATTTTACCATTGATTGGTGTTTCAGATTACCGAAAATTCGCAACATGCTTACCTTTTGAAACTAATACATCTTGGAGTCTGACCTATGTTGTCTTCCTCATTTTCATAAATGGAGTGGCATTTTTAATATTAATGGGGTGTTATTTAAAAATGTATTGTGCAATAAGGGGATCACAAGCTTGGAACTCAAATGATTCTAGAATCGCTAAACGTATGGCTTTACTTGTATTTACTGATTTTTTATGTTGGTCACCCATAGCTTTCTTTTCTATGACTGCAGCCTTTGGGTGGCAATTAGTGACTTTAGAACAGGCAAAAGTATTCACAGTTTTTGTATTACCTTTGAATTCTTGTTGTAATCCTTTTTTGTATGCAATATTAACAAAACAGTTCAAAAAAGATTGTGTTTTAATATGCAAAGCTATTGAAGAATCTAGAGTAACACGTGGCATAGGACGGTGTAGGCACAGTTCAAATTTTAGTAATCGCCAAACTCCTGCTAATACCAATAGCTTAGTTGATCGTTCTTCAAGAGATAATCAAATCCATCAGCCTTGCAACTGCAATGTGAAATTGCTAGGGGATAGTGTAAATTCAAAGAGAACACCAAAGGGATGGCTGATTAATAAAGTTCATTGGATGAGAAGCTGCTTAGGTAGAAATAGTAATACTAGACACCGCACAAGATCTGATCAATATGCTTATCAGATAGCTGAAATTCAACAAAAACAACATAAACGAGCATCATCTGTCTCATCAAGTGAGAACTTCAGTTCTTCAAGATCTGATTCATGGAGACAAAACCACCATCACTGCGGACTTCCTATGAGATTATTAGATCCAAAGAGAAGGGCATCATCATGGATAATTACTAGGAAAACATCTCAAGATTCAAATTTATCAAGTTCAAGAAATGATTCTTCTGGATCTGCAACAACTAATAGTACCACTATGTCAAGAGTTTCTAGGTCAAGTAATTCAGGAGAAGTTAGGCCAAAACCACGATTAACTAGACAGAGTGCTATACAAGATGAATGTGATTTATTTGGATCCCCTGCAAAATTAACCGTCCGTTTTCTAACCACAATTCCCTCAGCTGCTGAAACGAGTGTTCAGCATGAAGATGACAATCCTTGCTATGCAATTTTACATGCAAGCCAAGAACAGTCATCAAATACTAGTCAAAGCCCATCTCCAAATTCAGTTAAACACAATAATTCAACTTCAAAAAAGAAACAAAATTCATGAGCCAAAGTTTCAGGATAAAATTGTCATTAAGTTAAATTCTAAAAAAGTTTAAATGCTGCTTTTACATTTTCAAATTGTTATTCTTGAAATTCCCAATATATTTCTCGATGGCATGATGTTGACTAATGTCAATGGTATTGTAGTATTTTGTATTGGCCAATCAGATTAGCCTAAGTCAGTGAAAAGATATTAAAAAAAACATTATTTTGGGATTAAAATACTTAATTATAATAATGTTAAAAATATTGACCAGCTACTGACACTAGTTTGGAACATAACTCAGTGTCCAATAAGATTCTAAAATATAATTACACCATTTTTTGATGTTTCAGTTTTTAAGATAACTATGAAATAAAATATACTAATTAAAATTTAGTTTTATAGTTATGCATAATTAAATGTCCCAATCAATGTTAGTGCAAATCTACTGATTAATATGTTGACTGCTCACCTGCAAGATAACTCTTAGTTGGTATTCTTGCATAAGATGCCAACTACTAGTTATCTCGTAGTATTTTGGGTGCTATATTTTGATATCTAAGATAAAAATCTTAGAGCTTTTCTATTACTACTATGTAATAAAATTTGAGTTTTTAATAATATACTATGATTAAATTAAATTGGCTTAAAACTGGAATCCTGAAAAGAACCATTGGTAGTCAATATGTTAAATAAATCTATTTAACTACAGTTATAAACTTTTATTATGCTCCAATCTGATATTTGTTTATTAATAGAAATCAATCAGTAAATAATGGGATTTAATTTGTAACTTTAAAGCTCTTATACAAAGTGTAATTTTGCATAAGTTATTTTTCTTATTAATCAATTTTTTTTTTAATTTCACAAATGGAATGATTATCATTAATTAGGTTTCAAAACCAAAATAAACCAAAATTCAAATAAAATTTTTACCTATTGCTATTATACGATTCATCTTCATGAAAATTCTTGTCTTTTTGTCTTTTATCTTTCTTCATACAATATTTTTATATATTTATTGAAAGAATCAGCACCTTTTTTTTTTTCTTTTACTGATGGGTTCATTAAATTATAATGTATATTAATAAAATTAGATTCAGTGAAAAGTAACTCTAAAAAAAAATTTAATTCTAATTATTAATATTTGCTCTTTTTTTTTTTTTTTTATTTATGTACGGCAAATTACAGGTTATGGTCATAGTTAAGGAAGTAGATTGATAGAAAAGGGGGTATCACCTACACAGTTTGCCAGGTGACATTTTTGGTTATATATTTGGAATCACAATTGCTTGTTATATTAATGTAAAATTACCAAAAATGCTGTATTTTCTCTTTAAAAAAATTCTATAATTTAATAAAAAAGCTTCAGATACTAGTTACGTGCTTAATATATAGGTTAAATTTGTAATAAAAACTAGTTACCGTCATGTTACAAACAATTTTTTATTATTGTAATAATTACTATTTATATTTAAAACAATTGAGGTTGTTAAAAAGTTACTGCTGGTTGATAAATAACTAAAACTCTGAAAACACTATAATACTTACATAGTCTCAAATATATTTTAAAAAACAGGGGCGCATGATTTGTACTTGTACACTATCAATTTCATTCTCTTTAATAGTTTATTGTGGCTTCAAGGTTTTAAAAGATGCCCAAATTTATCTTTATAAAAATTATACTTGAAGGATGAGACAAATTATAGAAAGAATTTTCCTCCATCAAAATATTTGCAACTGAAATAAACAAACCAAGAATTTGTTTTTTAGACCGACAAGATTTTGCTGGTAATACTGCTTCATTATTTGTACTGAAGATATTTGGATGCTAATATATAAATAAAACCTCCAAAACTTCTGTCATTGGATAAATTGTCTTTAAAGTTGCATCAATAATTTTTGATGATGGATAATTTCTTCATGCACATACGTAAAACATTTTCTTCATTTCCAAAATGCCTGTTATGGAGGCATGAAACATCCATTTTCAAAGAGACCTGTTCCGAGGACAAACTGAGTTATTGGTAAATTTTGTAGCTTTCTCATATCCTTTATTTGTCAAACCTATATCTTTCTTATGTCACTTATTCATCAAGCTAATGTTGTTATTGGTATAATAAAAGTAATTCAATACAGCAGCAATAGCTGTTTTAAAACTATCCATGTTAAAAATCCATACTTTAGTGCTGTAGATTTTACAGAGATACCCTTTTGAAATTTTCTTCTTTTGACTTGACGAATTCATCTTCACTTTAAGTGTGTCATATTTAAAACTATGCCATAAATCCTGTCAATGTTTTCTGATAAAAAAGAAGAAAAAAGTACTTGAGAAGAAATTTGACTATAATTCCATAAGTAAAACCACTCATACTATACAAAAGAGATTTTATAAAATAATATTGACTAAATAGGATTTGGCAATAAATCTTGAAGGTTACTTGTAAATTTTATAAATATTATCTATAAAAAGGTATATATATTTTTTAAATTGAATTGAATTTTCTTTATTTAATAGAATCAAAATTTCAAATTGGCAGGTTCAGCAAAATTAGTGAGTTTATTGTTCAGAATAATTATCATTAAATAAATCATCTAACCAACCCTATGTGTGGCTCATGCTAAGAGCTGTTTGGCATACCTATTTGTATATGGAATAGGCATTGTTCTTCTGAAACGATTTAAAGGACGGTTTTCTGTGAGTGAATGATTAATAAATAGGAAAAAAGAGCAGTAGCTCAGTGAATTGATTTACCAGACCGAGGGGATTAATTTTTTGCTTCTCAGAGGGGAGTATTTCACAGATCTCCAAATTGATCTACTGGATTGAAGTAAAAATTTAAGTGAAAAAAGTTGATATCTTAAAATCAAATAGTTTATAAGGTATTAGTGATAATAGAACATATTAATATTCTATAATCACCAATACTTTATTTTATTATATTCATGATAACTATAGAAACAACTGAATGAATAATTAAAATAATTTCTATATAAGAGCTTTAAATGTTTGGGTTATATTTAAATGTCATAAAGCATTAAATGTGAAAACACAAACAAGTGATTTTATTTCATAAGATTTATTTTTACTATAACATTTAATTTTTAAATCAATTATGACATAACTCTCTTGTTTTAAGTATGAAAAATGTTATATTTATTAAGATGTATATATATATATATATATATATATATATATATATATATATATATAATATATATATATATATATATATATATATAATATGATTGGGCAGCCTCTCTGAGAATTTCAAATGTGACAAAATTACTAATTCATTTATTCATTATCCAATGATATTGCATTTACAGAAAAGTTTGTATAATATGTAAAAAATGTATATAAATTATCAGTCATATTTTAAAAAATATTTAAGTGTACACTAAAGTTCTTTCTTTACGTATGTATATTTGTGTTTCTATATGTGCGTGTGTATCATAAAGGATATGAATGTTGACATTCAGGAAGGAATTGAATTTCCACACAAATAGAAAATTACTGATATATTTGTGTGTCTATATGTTTTATATGTTATATGATTATGAATGAAAGTGTTTGTGTATGTCTGTATATTGTGTGTATTTATGTATGTTGTATCAATATTTAAAGGAACCAAAGATTAATTCTTTAATGTTAAATTTTAATGTGTTGTGATCTTAGAAAATTAGATTTTAATATCAGTTGTAATTAAATAAACTCTATCTTATAGAAATAAATTTTGATTCTTAAAAAATTAAAATTTAAAATATGAAAAAAAACAGCATATGTGGTTTATTTGTATAGTAGTCAAATATATATTTGTTTAAATACATAACTGTTAAAAATTATGTGCACATTTTTTCCTCCCTTAATCAATTTCTGAGAACATATATTACAAATATCAAAATCTTATGTCTATGAATAAAACAGGAAATGGAAATGTCACATTCACTCTAATTCAATTTCACTTTAATAAAACATGATTAAATGCACTTTAATTGAAAATTATAGTTTAAATTTACAATTGATAATTACAATTTAGTTTTATGAAAATGATGTTGATTTAGCTCACTGTTTTTGTTCGTATTGTTTTTTTTCAAAACAGGAAGTTTAATGATTGTTTTTAAAATCCATAGTGAAACTCTTTTTTAAGTTAAAAATATAAAGTTATTCAAATTATTTTTTTGTAACTTACTAATCTTATATTTTATCAAGTAACATTTCTTAGTTAATGTCGTTTATGAGGTTTCCATTTCTTCTTAATCTCACTTAATAGCTTCTCATTGATACGAGGCCTTAATGATACAGGAAAATTAGATGAACTCTCTGGAAAAAAAATGATCAATGATTAAACATTATTTCTTCTATTTTGATAATATGAGGGCTACCTTATATAATTAGTGATGATAATTACTATAGGCTGCATTTATTAAATGCTGTTTTTCCATGTTCATAGGTTTATCTTTAGATGATATGTACATATTATCACAATAAATTCTTGTCTGGTAGTTAATATATACTTCATTTAGATACTCTGAAAAATTAAAAAATTAGTTGTTGAATATTTATTTTGTAAACACATTATTTCTTTTATACCTAATTTTTACTTTCATAGGCTTAGAGGAGGAGATGATCCGACAAAAAACAAAACAAAAAAACTCTTTGGTTCTCCATTTGCTTTATATTATATTTATTTTAAATATAAAGAATAAGAAAACTTATTAAAAATTATCCTAAATTACACATATTACTTACAAATAAATCCGAGCGCATTAGGACATTCTGAATGTTATGGATTCGATCCCACCTGGGTTGGTTATTTTTCATTTCTCAGCAGCCCTGGGAAATGAATCTTGACACGGCAGCAACCTCAAGATAGCTGTCAGGGGAAGGCAAAAAGGACCATGTGGCCCACTTGTCCAGCAAGTGTAACAAGTACCAGTAATAGTATTATATTATATATTACTAGGAATGGGTTGATACCAGAATTTTTGTATTTAGATACAACTGATTCTGGTAATCTTTTGTATCTGATACTTTTGAATCTGATACAAATGGGTCAGTAGTTTGTCATTACCTTCCTATTACTTTGCGTCTGATGCAGTATTAAATTAATACTATTCATATTAGCATTAAATGAATATTATTCAATGTACTTATTTGTGTATGTTAAACTTAGCTATAAAGTTTTTTAATTGTTACAAACTTCTTTAGAATCTTTTATCAGGAAAAATTTTACCCTGTATGAATTTATTATATTTTTAATTTTAATTAAATATATTCCGTTATATTGTTTAATAAAAAGCATATTTTGTTTTAAAAAATTGTGTACATATCTGCATAGTAATTGACATAACTATATAGTCATTAAAACTATAAAATTTCAAAATGGTGTAAAGTATTAATTACAGGGACAAATTTAATAACAAAGGAATAAAATATATATAGGTACATATTTAATATATGTTTTATTAGGTATCAGATAGGTATTAAAAATATCAAACCCGATCAGTAATCAATTACATTCGGAAAGTCGGATAAAAATATTCAATACAATTATTGGGGTATCAAGCCCTAGCGACAGTATGAATACCCCTTGGGTATCTGATAAAAGTATCTTATCTCTAGTGTATCAAGTCCAGGAATCAGATAAAAATATCTAATACAATTATCAGGTATCAACCCCTAGTAAAAGTATGAATACTTTTCAGGTATCTGATCTAAGTATCTAACCTTCAG